GTTATGGCGGTGGAATTCTTATTTATATAAGAGAAAGCTTAGAAGCTCTGAGACGTCGAGATCTCGAAAATGCTTTGGACGAAACAATCTGGGTAGAAATGAAGCTAAAATCAAAAAGTGTTTTTCTTTGCACTATTTATAGACCTGAAACATCAAAAGTTGAATTCTGGAACAGGTTAGAAATTTCTATTGGAAGGGCTTTAGATGAATCTAATAATATAGTATTAAATGGGGATTGGAATATAAATTTCAGTAAAAAGCTGCCAACCCATGTAAGTGATACAATTACGTCATATAACTTTACAAACTACATTACCGAGCCGACAAGAGTGACAAATTTGACATCGACTTGTATTGATCCCATACTTATTACAGATACCCTTGATTGCCTTGAATCAGGAACTATCGATATAGATAAAACTATAAGTGATCACAAAGCAACCTATATAATACTCAAACTTGATACAGCGATCCCAAATACGTATGTCCGAAAGATTTTCCTGTACAAAAGAGCGAATCTTGACCAATTTAGAAATTAAATGAGTGAAACAAATTGGGGTGAAATTTTAAATAGCGAAGATGTCGACGTCGATGTAGTAAAGTTTAACGAAAAACTTTCGGAAATTGCGAATGAACATATCCCACAAAAAGATGTAGGAGTAAGACTGGACGTTAAACCTTGGTTTAATTCTGGAATTCGGAAAGAAATAAACTTGCGCGAAAAATATAGAAAAGCTTACAGAAAATCTAAAAATGAGAAAGATAAAGAAAAATACCGGAAACAAAGAACTAAAGTCAATAATTTTAAAAAGAAACTAGAAGAAGAGTACCTAATAAATTCAAATGAATCATTCAATCATTTGAACTGTACAAACTCAACATCTTATTGGCAAATAGCTCGCAAATTATTGAAGGGTTCTAAGCCATCACACACGATTCCGCCACTAAAAGATCTGGAAGATAATGCCTATGTATTTACAGATGAAGGGAAATGTGAATTATTGAATCACAATGCATATTTTTGTAAAGTTTCTTCTAATGACAACACAGATAAAGACCTTCCCGAATTCGAATCAAGGACAGAGGCTAAACTTGAACATGTTACCATAAATGAAAATGAAATTATCGATATTATCGAAAGTTTAGATTCTAAGAAAGCCTCCGGTCCCGACTATTTCGGTCATATTTTAATAAAAGAAATAAGAAACGAAATTGCAGTCCCGCTAGAAATACTGTTTAATAAATCTTTGAGAACTGGGAAATTTCCATGTGTCTGGAAACATGCTAGTGTAGTTCCTGTTTTTAAAAAGGGTGAGAACTCAAACCCATCCAATTACAGACCAATTTCTATTGTTTGTACAGGTGGCAGTATGTAACACCCAGGTCAACATACGTATTGTTTGTACAGATGACAATATTTAAAACACCCACGTCAATAAACGTATTGTTTGTACAGATGACAGTATGTAACACGCAGGTCAACATACGTATTGTCTGTACAGGTGGCAGTATGTAACACGCAGGTCAATATACGTATTGTTTGGACAAGTGACAGTATTTAACATCCAGGTCAATATACGTATTGTTTGTACAGGTGACAGTATGTAACACCCAGGTCAATATACGTATTGTTTGTAGAAGAGAAAGTAAGTTACACCAGGTCAATATACGTATTGTTTGTACAAGTGAAAATACGTAACACCCAGGTCAATATACGTATTGTTTGTACAGGTGACAATATCTAACACCCAGGTCAATATCTATGTATTGGGATGTCATTCGCTACTAACGACAGGGATGACGACAGGTGGAGGACAGGTAACTGTGCTGGTCACCGAGCCAACCTCAACGATCTAATTTACCTGTCAGACTCGGAAAGTCCTTGTTATCCTACAGTAGGGCGTGGATCAATTGTGAGGGAGACAATATTGTTGATCAGACGTCACTAGATACACATTATTTATTCCTATTATAAATTTCTAAGTTTTTGATAATTTTACACTTTATTTGTTTTATAATCTGAAATCACAGGTTTGAGGAGTCAAACGTAAAGTTTTTGTTGTTTATCTTTCTTTTATAATGTTTTTGTTTTGTTGTTGTTTATCTTTCTTTTATATTGTTTTTGTTTTTGTTGTTGTTTATCTTTCTTTTATATTGTTTTTGTTGTTGTTTATCTTTCTTTTATATTGTTTTTGTTTTTGTTGTTGTTTATCTTTCTTTTATATTGTTTTTGTTTTTCTCCACAGATGTAGATTAATAAAGAAAAGAAATGGATGGATAATTCAGTAGAATACAATATCATAACCCGTCACTGACAAAGCAATGGATAATTCAATAGAATACAATATTATAACCCGTCACTGACAAAGCAATGGATAATTCAATAGAATACAATTCAATAGAATACAATATTATAAGCCGTCACTGACAAAGCAATGGATAATTCAATAGAATACAATATTATAACCCGTCACTGACAAAGCAATGGATAATTCAATAGAATACAATATTATAAGCCGTCACTGACAAAGCAATGGATAATTCAATAGAATACAATTCAATAGAATACAATATTATAACCCGTCACTGACAAAGCAATGGATAATTCAATTGAATACAATATTATAACCCGTCACTGACAAAGCAATGGATAATTCAATAGAATACAATATTATAACCCGTCACTGACAAAGCAATGGATAATTCAATAGAATAATATTATTACAATTCAACGATATGCAATGTTCATAAAATAGAAATATTCATTTTATTAATATTTGTGTTCTATTAATTCCTAGTTTTAATAAAGGTTCCTGAATTCCCGGTACCTTGTAAAAAGTACTTAGAAGCGAGAGTTTAGCATTGTGGTTACTTTTTTTTTTTATGTATTATGATACATAATTTAAGTTAAAGTGCAAATATCAATATGCGTGATCAGGCTTATAAATAACACAAACCGCCCGGGGTGTAGTTTCAAAATACAGATAGCGAGTTCTCATTATATATGTACATTGAATTTGCGACTAAATTAATTTTGAAAAATTGAGGAGTGCATTCTCTTCACAAGATGTAAGCTGATATTTGAAATTAAAGACAAACTTTTTATTCTTTTTTCTTTCTAAATTAAAAATATGAAATACTCGTATCCTTGAATAGAGTGATCGTGGGCTATACATGTCAATGTCGCCGTCTTTTTATTTATTATCATAAACCTTTATATAACCTGCATTTTTTTTTTTTTTTTTTATAAAATACTGCAAGACTTTTAACAATTTATGGTATTTCAAAGATTTGTATAAGCGTTACTTATGATTTTATATAATATTCATTCAGCAGTCGTCTTCAAAAATAAGCGAGAGCAACAGTCCTAGATTTTATTTTCAGTAAATCTAAAACAACTTGCTTGAAATGAAAAATTAGGGATAAATTTGTGTCGTCAAATAAGTAAAACCTTACCAAAACAAACAATCAGTGTTGTTACATGTACTGTTTTACATCAAATGTATAATGAATTATTTTACCTACCGTTTTGAAACACATTACATGTAATGTCTTTCTAATCAAAATTATTTGTGCTTTTTTTAAATATCATATTTATTTTTTGGTGAAAATGAAGTGCAGATACAGGAAGGTTTGAATCATTAAGTCAGAGGAGATTCTTTTTTACTGAATTTAATATTTTGACCGACCGTTTGTCTATTTTTTATACTTCCTTCTCTCTCACGACATGACAGAAAATATATATTACCTGGGATTTCTCATTGAAATTTTCTTCCTGTTTTTTTACGTTCCTTCTTTTTTTCTGCCGTTTTCCTCTCTGTGTCTTGATTTTCAGACGCCATAGCTTAAAATATTCTAGATTTTACTATCAATGTATGTTTTTTTTTCCACTTTAGAGTTTGTTTTTTTAAATTTCTAAATTACATATATTTCCTTTTAGAATAATCTTCTGCCCGTGATCATCTTTAAACCCATTGTTTTAGCATTTAAAAAAAAACTTTGTACATTATACGTTTAAGCAAATAAGGTAGTTGCCTAACAATCAATTACTTAAACAATGTCATTTTTTTTTAAACTCAAATAATGTCTGCCATTGACGAAAAAATGATAGAAATACTTCTTGTGTGGGATACATTACCTATAGATTGAATATTAATAATAAGACCACTTGTGAGAGGAAAAAAATCAGCAAATGTGTCCAGTTGAAAACAAAACTGAGCATGCTCGTTATATTTTAGTTTATTTTTCAGGGTTAGGGTTAGGACTTTCAGTTGGAGTTAAAATCTAATAACTAAGTTAAAGATAAATTTCAAAAATTAAAAAAAGTATAGGTTTCGAATATATTTGTCAATATTTCTTACTCCATATTACCATTCATTTTACCAAACCCCCCAAAAAAACAAAGAAACAACAACAACAACAAACCCCAAACAAACAAAGAAACAACAACAACAAAAAAACCCAAACAAACAAAGAAACAACAACAACAAAAAAAACAAACAAACTAATAAACAAGGAAGATAGGCCTAGGAGAGTTAAATTAACAACAGAAACTCACAATGTATAAAAGCAGTTCCAAAAAAATACTAAGAAGGAACACCAGAATCTGAATCCTAGTTTGAAATGAGTACAAAGCATGTGATTGTAAAAATTGTTTTGTTTACATTAGCTACAGAATACAGAAAAGTGGTTGATTATGGCTTTGTTATCTTTTCTCATTTCGTCTAAACAATAAGTTAATGATATAACTAAAACTATTTTGTGAGATACGTATGTTATCCTCCGGCCCAGTGTAAGTGATTCCTGATATACTTCAAACATCAAGTACTTTTAAGTATTCTGGTTTTTACATCCCACTAATTTTGAGAAATCCCAAAACATCTCTTTATACACCGTATAACATCTTCTGATTGAGGAAATCCCCAAACGTCTCTATATACACCGTATGAAATCTCTGATTGAGACACAGCATTGTTCTGTTCTGGTTGGTTCACGTCGACATGAAAACGATGATGTTTTCCATTCTATTACTGCTTTTTATCTCAATACAACAAGTCAGAACGGGGTCCTTCTTAACCGGTACGTATGATCCGAACTCTACGGCTTTGATCAATGAAAGAAGTAACATCAAGGAAATCGACGTTCTTCGGCAGATCATCAACCAGGAAACTCTCATCCGTTTAGCCGTGGTCAAGGATGTTAAGGCAATAGTGGACGATGTTAGTTCTGTTAAGCGAAGCATTGCGTCTACAGAAACGATGATCTTCTCTCTACAGAAGGCGCTAAATACATTGAAAAGCCAAGTCGATTCCTTAATTCGCGACAATACTTTAGCGCAGACGGTAGAATCATTGAAAAGAAAGGTAGATATTCTGTTAAGTCAGGACATGATTTTAACACAGAGGATAGAAAAATTGGAAAGACGTGTTGATACTCTAAGTAAGGATAACGCTTTACAGCATATGGTAAATACATTGAAAACACAGGATAATTCTTTGAGTGGGGAACAGAGAAGAGAAAACAAGAAGATTGCAATGAATTGTGAGAACAGGATTCAAGAAACTGAGCAGAAGTTTAATAGAAACATCGCCGATATTTACGAACTTTTAAATAACAGAACATTGCTAACCGTTAACAAAGGTATTACTCTCTCTCTCTCTCTCTCTCTCTCTCTCTCTCTCTCTCTCTCTCTCTGAGTATATTTTATATTACACTCAATATTATTTCATGTATTTATTCCTTTTTCTTCAGATTTAAACATAAATAAAGATTGTAAGGACCTCTATATCAATGGTAATACAAAATCTGGTGTATATGAAATAAATCCGTTCGGTATTGAGAGCAAGATCAACGTGTTCTGTGTTATGGTGACAGAAGGCGGAGGGTGGACAGTAAGATCTCTCTCTCTCTCTCTCATATCAATTTCAAGTACTATTAAATTCTTTATAGTTTATTTTCCTTTGATTTTAAAACTGATTTTTAAAAAGTCTTTATACTTAAAACAAACTAGTAATGAATAAAAATGGAATAACCATCTTTTTTAGCCTATCTTACATGTAGATAATAAAATTATGAGAGTAAATATTTTTAATAATAGAGTAAAATAGCATATAAATACCATAAATTTAAAAACATAGATTTTTACCTTAAATAATTGTTAAGAAAAGTATAATTTTCATAGATTTTTGTATGAAGCAAAATTTATTTTTAAAAAATCATCAAAAAATATAGCATGTAATTTAGCTAATTTAGGTAATTTAGATAGTTTGAAAAATTGTTCACAGTACAACGTAGCTAACAAAGTTTCACGATTTTCATTAATACCACGTAATTCCTAGGCAATCCAGAGACGATTGAGCGGGTCAGTGAGTTTTGACAGGACATGGGCGGAGTACAGGAATGGTTTCGGGAACCTTTCTGACTCTTACTGGCTTGGTAAATAATCATTTATATCTCCTGATATCTAAAGAAATAATAATTTATCTGATTATTAATATTTTAATTTATATTTTGTTCTTTCAGTTTAAACGAACTTTATGACAATTTTTGTTATATATAATTATTTCCTCAGTTTGATGCCAAACATATACGGATATTGCTAATATGGTTTATGTCATAAATCGTACAATTCTATGTGCTTGTATTATACTATAACAATCCTGAAATTAACATATTTTGCTATATTAATGCTTTATATAACCGACAATATTATATTGAAGGAAATGACGTAATACATCAGCTTACCAAGGGAAGGAACGCCTCCCTCTACGTGTCCATCACATTGCGTAATGGGACAAAACTCTATGAATTATACAACCAGTTTTCTGTTGCTGATGAGACGAACAATTACAGACTTTTTCTTGGAGGACCAGTTACCGGGACATTGGGTAGGTAAAAGGAATAAAAAATGTCTGACGGGAACCCTAGGAGAGAGAGAGAGAGAGAGAGAGAGAGAGAGAGAGAGAGAGAGAGAGAGAGAGAGAGAGAGAGAGAGAGAGAGAGAAAGAGAGAGATCTTTCTATTTCTGGTGACAGGTAGACAACTACAATCTCTTTCTCTGAGGGCCAGCAACCGGAACGTTAGGTAGGAATTGGAAAGAATGCGTGACAATCTATGTTCCGCATGTGAGATTTTCTGCGTAACTATGAAAATAATAGTTCATACAGTGCGAGCCAATTAATTATATATATTAAAGAACAATATATATTATGATCAAGACGTTTTATTTCATTAATCCGGCTACGTTTTTTGAACTACTATTTTTATCAGTAAACTTATTTCTAAAGCAAACCATCAAAAAATTACATTGACATTAATATAAAAAGGACATGGCATATCTTATATTAAGCTCAATTAGCGCTGGTAATCATAAAGTAACTAAGTGGTTATGTTGTAGATATAATTAACAGATTATACAAAAGCAACAATGAAAAAGAAGTTAATTACCTAAATCTGAAGAATTCCTAATGATTAATGTGTTGACAAAGTGGAAAAATGCATTGCTTCCAGTACAATAAAGGTTATAAGAGATACAAAAAAAAAAAAAAAAATCAAAAAAAAAATCAAAAAAAAATCAGAATATCATTTAATAATATTTCATCACCTTAATAGTTAATGTATAATTATTTATTGTTTGAATACCCTTTCTTTTTATATATAAGTAGATAAGTAGATAAGTTTTTAATGTTAACAATAAGATTGATATGGATGAATTAAAAGGTTTTATAATGCTAAATACTGGTATGTGATATCCTTTAGCTTCAAATTAAGTAAATAATAATGCTCTAATTTGAAAGAGGTGTCCGTGTAATATATTTTTCTTTGATTATTTTTCAGGTGACAGAATGTTAAACACTGGTTATTCTGCCACTAAACTGTCTGGGATGTACTTCAGTACACCAGACAGGGACAACGACACAGGTGGAGGTGACTGTGCTGCTATCAGTAGACATAGAGGAGGCTGATGGTTTAACGGCTGTCACTGGGCCTTCCTCAACGGTCCCTGGTCCCCGGCAGACTGGGCCAATCCTTGGTATCCGTTAATTAAGGATGGTAGGGAAATAAAGGAGACTGCCATGATGATAAAACCTCACTGAATGCGTTACATATTTTGTTTATGGTGTGTTACATGTTTATTTAAAATTGTTTATTGACGTTACGACATTCAGTCCATTGTGAGGTTACTTAAATATGTACATACAAAGTCAAATACATATTAATTTATGATGATGTTATTATTCTAGTTATAATGGTGTTATCGATGTCATGAAGTAACAAAGTTACTGTTTAACTAATATTATTATATGTAATGGATTTCTTGCTTTAGTCCTATTATGTTCTGAAAATGTTGTTACAACCTTAGTATCTAATAAAACAATTGCTTTAATCTTTGTGTATAATAAACTTTCTGTTTTAGTCTTATTATGTGATATGTGATTATTAATCTTATGGTATAAAGTAAATGAATAACAATAAAACTGCTTATTTCTGATACACGCCATGGATTTTAAATGCAGGCCCTGTGAACAGTCAAAAATCTGGGAGAAGGAACTACTTTTATTAGTCAATCTCTAAATTTAAATTTATTATCATATACATACATTTCACATGACATACACATGTATTTTGTTGATAAAAATTGTAGAAAACTACGGCATTCAAAACGTCATATCAAGGAATGGGAAGTTAAAAGATTATTTACTTTTACTTTGAAGTCATAAACGTTGAAGGACGTGCAAGTGCAACTTCATCAACGAAAATTAAAATTCGCTCACACATTGAGCAGTTTGTACGTTAGTAGCTGTTACAATGGCATTTCCCTTAATTGTAACTTTCACAAAGAATAATACAGGGATTTTCAAAGACTTATCACATTTGTAGACAAAGAAGGGGTTAAAAATGTAACTATAAGCTTTGAATTACATGTATCATTTTTGTGAAAAAAATGTGATATCATAAAGTTCTGTGCCAAACCGTGCGTAAAAAAAAACTGTAACGCGCGTTACACCTTTGCAGTTAATAACACTGTTATGATACTATCAATGTATCTTTCAAAAAATAAAAATTCAATGTTAAAGTATTAGTCATCTTAAAAATATTAATGCCCTGTTCACACGGAGAGTTTAATACGAATTAAAAGTAAATGAGCCGTCCCATGCGAAAAGGGCCCTTAAGGTAAAAATTTTCAAAATTGACTTTTCAATGGATTATGATAGATTATAGTGTAAAATAACCAAATATAAAGTTTGATTCAAATATTCAGAATAATTACTGAGATATAGGGAATCAAAGGTTAAGAAAATGTTAAAATTACCTTGAAAAATGACGTTCGAACTGACGTTTTTATATTTCTTTCATAAATATTTGAAATATGTATCTGATTGAAAAAAAACCTTACTTTATCACACGAAAACATGCATGAAAATGCGTAAATCCCCTGCCTTTATTTTAGATGCAATATTTGATATACATGTAGTTGTTTTCGTTAAAGTAAATTATATAGTAAGTGTCGAAGCCGTTTCAATATTAATTTAATTTTATAAAGAGGAGGTGTTTTGGACTCTGTATCAGACGTAAGTTACATGTGCATTTTAAGAGTGTCGACATTTTTGCATGTCACTTAAATGTCCATTTTGGTCAAATGTAACACACATGATTTAAAAAATCCGATAAAAAATTCTTTATGTAAGTTTTCTCATAAATAAAACACAGATAATGGTTTTATATCCGTAATTTTTTTTTTAAACACTCGCGACGTCATGTTAGACGTGAATATTGCTCTGATATACGGTTCAGAGAAAAGTAAATATTGAATAAAAACAAACAAATAAAAGATATTTGTTTATTTTACATTTTACAGACTAGTATTTTATTTATTTGTAGTTTATGAAAAATATTTTTTTAAAATTTAAAAAGAATAAATGAGATAAGACTGATAACATTGCGTCTTCCTTGTAATAATAGAGTTCATTGTTTGATAATTTTTCATCATAAGGATATAACTTTTGTTGTTTTATGCATGACGTAGATGAATTTGAAAGAAAGCTTGAAGGGCGGATACAGAAAATTGATCCGCAAGAGGGGGGGGGGGGGGACGGGCATCTACAGTAACACAATCCAGTTAAAATTTTCTGACAAGTTAAAGAATGAAGTTTGAGGAGGTTTTCTGACAAATTAAATGAAGTTTAGGGAAGGGGGGGGGGGGCAATATGTACCTACAATACTGAACATATGTGTATTCATTGTCCTGCATTGGTAAATATTGACACAGGAAATAATATATGCCGAGACAATCCCTTCCGCCTTTTACATGTGTAATGTATGTTTCTTACGATATTGTACATATTAGAACATCTGTCAAAATTGGTTGATCGCCCTCTCCGATCGGCTAAAAATGGCATGACGCAAAACTCATTTTAACTGTCAGGAAGGATTTTTTATTCCATTTCTGAAATAGATTTCGAAAATTCAGCATTGATATTAAAATTTTTTGGGGAAAAAAATTCTCATCTACCTTTTTTTTCGTCCTGAGTCGCGAGAGGGCATACAAACATTATTTTTTAAAGTTGGTCGTATTCCCTACATATTGGCGTAAACCGTCATTATATTTGCACCGCCTATTTGCTCTGTACCGATTTATAAGCAGATCAATATTCGTACTGTATGTCTTGCAGGGAACATGTAATCTCACAAAAACTGAGGATGAGGATATAATTTTCGTATTATCATCATATCCTTATACGGTCATTATAAGTTCAGAATATATTTTGAAGTTTGAAGTTTTTTTTTTATGTCTCATTGATTCACCATGTAACCCCCCCCCCCTTTTTTCGCTAAATTTCGTTTGAAGAAAAAAAAAAATCAAAAGCTTAGGCCTACATATTCTTCCATTCATTTTCTGGTTCTCAAATTTTGTGGAAGTATGATCACTTAGTTTGGGTCTAAAAAAATATGTCGATGATCGGGAAAGAGGGAATGTTGGCAGTGAAATGAGTGGCGCTGCGGGCCGGAAGTAGTAGTGCTGTATTCCTAGGACTCTTCCCAAAATCACATATTGTAAATCCAAAGTAACGCGTAAATCAGTTTCCGAGTTTATTAAAGCAACAATTTTAACTTTCAAGAAATACATGCGGGGACACAGACGGAAGTGGCCAGTAATTTTTCGGGCCTCCGGATACATACAATTTAGATACTGGTATATAACAACAATTTGCGAATTGAGTGATAAAATGACATGTATTGAGTATTTTTTTTTATATAGGGCTTTAAAAAGTTTTGAGGGCAACTTACACTACATAAAGATTTATAATTAAAATTGATGAAAAGAATATATGTTTTGAATAATTTTCAAACTAAGATTTATCTCAATAGTCGATTTTGCAAGGTGATAGAAGTATTTATCTCAGATTTAAAAAGAAATAATTTTTTTTGGCTGACACTAACTACTTGTCGTTTCAAGCTCGTAAATAAATCTGTATTCAATCTTTAAGATTTAATTCTCCTGTATTATGTTTTGGGGTTTTTATAAATAATGACGCATTATTTACTAGGAATTAAATGCAGGCATGTTGTAGGGGGGGAGGGGTCCATACATACATACATAATGTTTGACTGGTAATTGATTGATTTAGAATGAAGATGTTCACTGAATGACTAATTGCACCCACCTCTAACAACCCCACCCCCATTTTTTGATATCAACTCAAATCTTCCCATAATATGCATAAAAAAAAATCTGGTCAAATTTTTTTTGGCAGCATTTACTTTTTTCTCATTTTTTTCCGCCTAGTCCAAGACTTTTAACAAATGATACAAGATTTTATTCTCAAATTTCAAGAAATATTGACCCGCAAATGACTGTGACGAAGGCAGATCGTCATTTATCGCG